TACCGAGGACATGACTCTAGATAGGAAGGAGTGGAGGTCTCGTATTAAGGTTGTAGGTTAGTAGGGCTAGCGTGTTGTCTTCCCTTGCAAGGGTATGGGTTGTTAGCATTTGGAGTAGACCTAGCCTTATGTTGTTTACTGCGTTTCACGCATCGCATTACTTTCTTGTTGTTACTGTCTCATTTGTTGATTATACGCTATCGTTTGTATTGGCTGTTATGTTTTATTTATATCTCTCCTGTCACTTAGATTTGTTGTTCTTGAGCTGAGGGTCTCTCGGAAACAGCCTCTCTACCTCCACGAGGTAGTGGCAAGGTCTGCGTACAATTTACCCTCCCCAGACCCCACCTAGTGGGATCTCACTGGGCATGTTGTTGTTGTTTGTTATCCATCATGTTTTGGAACCTCACTATATAGTAGTCTTCATAATGAAGTTATATCGGCAGCTTAGTCACCTATGTTCAATTTTGAGTTATAAACCTATTCATATAGTTGTACCCAGGTATATCCCCAATAACATTAGCAATTAGGGCAGATTTCCAGTTCTTTGTCTCTGTTCAACCTCTTTTTTGTCCAACATTTCTTTTTAATCTAAATGAAGTAGAAAAATGCAAGTTTCAAATGATCAACTTTAGACACAATTGGGAGGAGATAATTTGTAATTTGGACAGAAACAATAGGACCAAGAAGGCTATTTTTATATAATGAAATTGACCTACCTGTAGTTGTGTCAAAATAAATACTAATTGCAGCTGTAGAAATGGTAAGTGTGGTGGAGGAGGTACTGTCGGGGACAAAGACTGTCAACTAATATCAATTGTGTTGTATCTTTATAATTGCTAGTAATTTTTTCTTAACGTAATATCATATGTTTTATTTTTCCAGGATGCTGTAATCTCTAAGATCACGTCTGCATCTCAGCTTGTAGATGAATCTGGCGAGTCTCCGACAATTGATTTTTCGAAGGCTTACATGGGTGAAGTGGGTGGGGTTAAGAAGGCATGTATATATGGTCTTGGTTCTCAAGCAGCTTTCTATGAGAACGTTGGTTCGTCATCTGCTTCAACTACTCAATCTCAAGATTTTGATTTTGATACTCGAGTGAAGGAGTACGTTCAAGAAATGAAGGAGGAGATGAAGGATGAGATGAGAGAAGATATGAGAGAAGAATTGCGTGAAGAAAGAAACACGAAATGCATCTAGAAATGCAAGAGCAAGTTGATAAGATTCTCCAAGAACATTTGCCTATCCTCATAGCTGGCTTACCTAAACCACCCCATGGTACACCACCCTTTGATACACCAAATTAGCTTAGACATGACTCATCATCACATAACAATATGGGTCATTTAAAATTTCAAAACTATCTTAGGCATATTTTTCTTTGTTTGTTTCCATATTTGGATTTATTTTGAACTCTTTTTGTTAGGATTTGCATTGCTAATTTCAAGTTATAACTTGTCAAAGAATTACCCTTTTTATTATGTTTCTGGGCTCTTTAAGATTCGTAAAAGATATTTATTGATGTAAATATATAAAGTGAAATTTTACTATCGAATTATCATTAGTCAGTAATATTGAATTATATATTACCAATCAATCACTGATCGAATATCGAACATAAATGATATATATTACCAACAAAATAACAATCAGTTAGTAAACTTCCTAACAAGTTACTAATGAGCATTTTTGTGTTTCGAAAATACTAACCAATTAATAACGAAAGTTACAAAAGTAGATAGTCATACTTACTAACGGATTTAAATCCGTTGATAATTTACCAACGAAAGACCAACACATTTTTTTTCTTAATTGAAATTGCTAACTGATTACCAATGTATTTTGGCGAATTAACTATCGAACTTACCAACCAAGTTGTTATTTGTTAGAAAAGTGCTAACGAAATACTAACAACGTTTTATATTTTTTACTATATTTTCCAACATATCACTAACCAAATTGAATAATGAAGAACCAAATTTACTAACTGTTTTTTCTCTTCGTTAGTAAACTTACCAACAATATGCCAACAAAAAATTGGTTGATGAATTTACCAACAAAAATTCTAAGGCCATGTTTCAACAATTACCAACAATTTTTTAATGTGTTTTTCAACTGATTTTTAGTCAGTAATATTACCAACTAACTGAAATGGGTTGGTAAAATTTACCAACGAGCTTTTTAGCAACAAACTAATATTAGTTGGTATTAGGTTGAAAAAATCATTTACCAACCAATTTAATCAATTTACCAACGGATAATATTGTTAGCAATTCAAGGATTTTTTGTAGTGAGAACTGCAAAATGTCTAATGCAGTTCATCAAGTGAATCAACAATTACATTACAAAATAAAGGGGGAGAAATTTTGAAAATAAGAAATACATAAGAAAATAAAACTACTTAGAACTGACCTAAGAATGAGTTAAGTGAGTTGCACACAAATTCCAAAGTTGTGGCCAAGTAGACAATGAAGTTGATTAAGAGCTATGAGATCTCGGGTTCAAATCTTAGCCTAGACAAAAAATACTATGTAATTTCTTTCATATGTCCTAGTCAAAAATATTTTACTATTATAATTTGACCCAACATGAAATCTAAAAAATGAAAGGAGCTTTTAAATTATGTAATTTTTAACATGTCATAATGATTATGTGGATAAAAGATATTTTTAAGTGGAAAAGGTCATAAATGATCAATGCAGATAAGGTTTAATAATAAAAAAAAATGAAAAAGGAGAGCCAATAGCAGATAATCGAGAGTAGTGATGGAAAATGGGTGGGTTGGATTAAATTTGGGTGGATTAGAAAGATTATAACATAAGTGGGTAATAATTCAACTCACTCATCATTCATAGGATTAAAGTAAATTGGATAAAAAATGGTTGGTTAGAAAATAGATTAAACATATTTTCCTGATAAATGGTACTCTACTTTGAAGTTTAATATCCAGAAAATATAGGTTTTCTTTCAAATGAGAAATGTAAAAACTAATTTATTTAGTTTTATTATATCTGAAAAGTAATAATCTTTTTTTCCTGTAACTTTTAAATATAAAAGTAATTTACTTCGTAAACAAATAAAAAATAATTAAAAATAAATAATAGTGAAAGAAATATTTATCATGACTTTGAATTCCGAAGTAAATGAAACATTATATTTTTTGAATAAAATGTGCCACTTAAAGCAATATAAAAAATAATACACCACTTTGTTTATTTTACACTATATTATTTATCTATTATGCATAATTGACTATTTAAGGTTCATTACATGCTTATCAATACCCATATTTCTTTTCTTGAATTAATAGAGTTTCATAAGATCATAGTTTTTCACGAAAGATAGATGATATAGTTTTTATGATAAGGTGGAGACTCAAAACGAGTATTCTCTGTATCTATTTGTTTGTCTTAAATTCTTTTTTGTCTATTTGAAAAAAACTGTCTCTTTTCTAATTTGGTAACTCTTTATTTTTAACATCCCATATGGCATGTTAAGATCGCAAAATTAAATAAAGTTTTGATACATTAAATATATCATTAGTTGAAGACTACGAAATTCAAAAGTTCTCTTTATTTATTTTTAAAAATGTTATTAGGTAAAAAAATTTATGGTCTATTAGGCCTTTTATTTATTAACAAGACAAAGGTCCATCAAAAGGCCGTCCCAAAAGTGACTAGCCCAACTAGAAATAGGCAAAATTAAAAACAAATAAAGTTTGATCCTATCTAGAAACTTCCAACATAATATCACATTGGTCCACACCCGAATCAGGTATGGAAACCAAGGATTTTCTATTGGACTCCAGACTTTGAAATATGATGAAAGCTTCAGATCTACAATGATGGTTTTAGAGTTGTGCTTTACTTCTAGTTGGTGATACCTTATTCTCCTCTGCATCATCTTCCTTCTATTAGTTCATTACTAAGTTGCCTTTGATGTTGTAGTAAATGTCGTAGCAACTCTGAGGAGATTTTTCGCTTCAAATCGGTAAGGATCTTTTGTCTTTCTTTTATTGTATATATATCTGGTGATTTATGTGAGAGTGTTCCTCTTTTGGATCTCACACATCCAAGAACCTTTTGTGTCAATATAATTATTTACCATTTTTCTTCTCTAGTACCTTTCTAGCTTGATTTACTTACACCTCTATAATTGATGTAATATCTATGACGTTATGATTTGAATCTATCTTGAAGCATGAGTTGAGTCCTTCACCTATAGTCCTATGATGATGTCTTCCTCCCCTTCCCTGATGTTCTGTTTTATCTTTCTAGTTTTTATCCTCAAGTTGGGCATTTTTTGCTTGTCTGAATTCAAAATCTATTTTGTTTAAGTCGGTAATATTGTTAATGTAGTACAAATGATTCTTTCTTTCTCTAGAAATCTACATTTGCAATGTAATTTGCTAGTATGTTTACTTCTTTTTAGATGTGTGAAAGCATCACATGGGTTTATCTGTGCTAATTTCATGATATCCCAAACTAGATTTGTTCTGTGCCATGGAATCTCCCAGTCCCCTGAAAGAATTTTAACTAGAACTAGCGAGTTAGTTTCCACTCTTACCTTGTAAATCCACATAGAGACAGAATGGTATATTGCTTCCCTGATAGCAATTTCCTCTGCCTCTATGTTGGTAATTGCATGAACTTCCTCTCCTTAGGCATACACTAAATCTTCTATATGATTCTTATAAAGAAAACATAGGAATTCCGGCCCAGATTGACCCTAGATGTCCTATCAGTATTGCATTTTCGTTGTTTCTATTCTGATGGCTTCTAACTAATAGATAGATAATTAAGCTTGGGTTCGTACTTCTCTATGTGATTTACAATTTCTGGCCAACTTCATCTGAATTTGTTTTGGTTTATGGTATCAAATCTTCACTAGTCTTTAAATATCAGTGTTCACATTAAAAACTAAATTATTAAAAGTGACCATCAAAAAACCAAGAAGAAGATACTATGTAAAAAACTACAAAATCAAAAGACCATATACACCAAAAAGAAAACTAACGGAATGTACTTGTTATAATTGTGGAAAACTAGGACATATAGCTAGAAACAAAGAAAATACAATGGAAGAGATACTCAAAGCCATTACTACACTTTGCATAAAAGTGGATAGTATGGACAATGAGATACAAATTTACAATATTGGATAGAATCTATAGAAGATATAAAACTATTAGAACAATTAATGGAGGAAAATTTATATATGTACCAAAGAACCCAAGATATGTTATATCTAGAATATATCATAAATAATATTAAAGAAATACTTGCAAAGATAATAATAGAGGGATATTACAACAGATATTATACACCAATGATAGATACGGGAGCAGAAGCTAATATATGTAAATACAATTGTTTACCAGAAGATAAATGGGAAAAATTAAAAACACCGATAGTAGTAACAAGATTTAATAATGAAGGAAGCATGATCACATATAAGGCAAAAAATATAAAAATACACATATGGGATAAGGTATTAACTATAGAGGAAATATATAACTTTGAATTAACAACAAAAGATATGTTATTAGGAATGCCATTTTTAGAAAAATTATACCCACATATAATAACAAAAACACACTGGTGATTCACAACACCATGTAAACAAAAAATAGGAGCAAAAAGAGTAAATAACAAAAAACAAAAAACAACATAATGGATAAAAGGAAGTGAAAAAATTACACAAAAATTAGAAAATATAAAAGAAGAAGACCCTAAGATAGAATTAATTATATTCTCTATAGATAAAGTAAAAATAATCCAAGATAAGTTAAAATTATTATATAGTGAAGATCCTTTACAAGGATGGGAAAAAACATAAAACAAAAATAAAAATTGAGCTAATTGATAATAATAGCATAATAACCCAAAAACCATTAAAATATAATTTTAATGATTTAACAGAATTTAAGATACATATAAATGAATTACTAGAAAAAGGATATATACAAGAAAGCAATAGTAAGCACACAAGCCCGACATTTATCGTAAATAAACATAGTGAACAAAAAAGAGGAAAAAGCAGAATGGTTATTGATTATAGAAATTTAAATGCAAAAACTAAAACATATAATTACCCAATACCAAATAAAATATTAAAAATAAGACAAATACAAGGATATAATTACTTTAGTAAATTT